CTTTCTATTCCTATTTTTTTTTTTTTTGGCGATGTGTTCTACTAACCTTACATAAGTAAACATCGATAAGCTACCCATAATTCTATACTGAATGTTTGCAAATATCTATACATACGCATAATGGTTATGTTATAAGCGTGTTTATCTTCTCCCGACCCATTCAGGGGTCGGGAAAGTTCCAAATAATTCTATGTCCAAGCCCCAGTAGGCCTTCATCCAGGTAGTGTCCCGAACAGTCGGTTATCATCATAAAAAAGACCCGGACAATTGGCGTAACCAGTGCCAGTAGAACAATTAGCACACTTTTAGAGCTAAAACAGGCACACCTAGGTAATCTTTCTATTCCTATTTTCTCTTTTTTTTTGGCAATGTGTTCTACTAACCTTACATAAGTAAACATCGATAAGCTACCCATAATTCTATACTGAATGTTTGCAAATATCTATACATACGCATAATGGTTATATTATTAGCGTGTTTATCTTCTCACGACCCATTCAGGGGTCGAGAAAGTTCCAAATAATTCTATGTCCAAGCCCCAGTAGGCCTTCATCCAGGTAGTGTCCCGTCTTCGTGAGGAGGGTTAGGTTTATTGCTCGGCGCCTGAGGTCTTCCCAAAAGGCGAAATACCGATGAGGCTTGGGAAATTTTTTCCACACCATAACCCATTCTAAACTTCGACCTTGTGTCACATTCGGTAGCGATGTGGGCGTGTTGAAAAATACAATCTATACACACGTTGGTTTCAGAATACAAGGGGACACTTTAAACATAATGTATACATACAATCTTCTGGTCACATTCGTAATAAGATAAACACACTTATAACATAAGCATTATATGCATGTATGCGTGTCCGGGCAGGTGTGTGGGCAGTGATAGGTAAAATATATTCAAGCCATTTATGTGGTTATTTTCAGTTGTTGTTGCTGTTGTTCGTAGTCATTAATACGTTGGGTCTGATTACGTGCGCAGTTGGGCCGATGTGGCTGGAGAGGCGATTGTATGATGGTCACTACCATAAAGCCTATTGTATCTGAGCTAATGACCGGACACATCAGACCACTTGGAACGTGTCCGATGCGATAGAAGATACGATCAATACAATAGACAGTGTCCAAAGCGACATTCAGAACAGTTAAACAGAGAGCCAGTGGCTGGAATAGACGGACGACGCTCCAACAGATCATTGCCGATGCGGCTAGGGAGGAGCAAGGAAGCACGGCTTGCCTTTGTAGTTCTGGCCATTTTGGAATGGTCAGTGTGTGGTCACGCGGTGTCGGCGAGAGGAAATGCACTGTGGGGCTTTTAATGGTGAATACAGTGGACGAGCAAAGGTAGTGATAAGATATGAGAATGATTGGGTCGAGTCACGGGAGAGAGAGGGCGAGAGAGAGAGGGCGAGAGAGAGAGGGCGAGAGAGAGAGGGCGAGAGAGAGAGACATAAACAGCGATAGAGAGAAAAAAGAGAGGGATATAGAGATAGAAAGGGTGGGAAAAAGAAAGAGAGCAATAAAAAGAAAGAAAGAAAGAAAGAAAGAGAAAGTAAAGCACGAATAGAAAAAAGAAAGGGGATATTAAATGGATGCTGGAGATATCGATTATCTTAGAACAGGAGAAACCAATATACACTAGTACAAGTAAATGACTACTCAGTAATGAAAGTGCCAGCTGAAATATTTGTGTATTTCTCAGCAGTGTTTGAGTGCAGCTAAAAAGCAGTATTTTGTTTGCCGTAATTACAAAACGATGTGAATTGTGAAACTGGGCTGTTGCTAAAAGACTTAAAGCCAATAGTGAAATCCAGATGTCCATGTCAGTGACCAAGAATTTTTCCTTAAAACGCACATTAAAATCACTGGTTTTTACTTTTTACCCGAGTGCGCAGGTGAAAAATAATAATAATATAAAGTCGAATAATTATCCTTAAATAAAAGTAAGACGCGCTTTCTTCCTTTAAAATAAAAAAAAAAAAAAATCATGAAATTCCATGAAACTTTTTTTAGCCGCCATTTTGAATTCGATTAACAAAGGTTTTTGTCTCTCTATTTTTGTTTTCCAGCAGGACATTTCGTTCTGAGGTCAAATACGTTTGTACCTGATTCTCAGAGTGTCTGAAAGAAAACAAAGCAAATTGTTTAGATTTTTTGACACACTGTACGCTTTACCCCGGAAGGTATGGGTCTCAGGGTGTCACATTGATGACCCGTGGCTGCTTCTGAGAACAAAATTTCAGCGTGTGAAAAATTATAACTAGTCAAATCGAAATACTTTTCTATACTTCACTACAAAAGTAGTTTTTAAATGAAGAGTTAAAAATTATTCATTTGTACAATGACTGATAATATCACAGACCATAATATCACAGACTGATAATATATACTGATAATATCACAGACCATAATATCACAGACCATAATATCACAGACTGATAATATCACAAACCGTTACTAATGTGATGTGGTCGATAGTCATTGGCTTCTTCACCTTTGCGTTTTTTCCAGGCTAAAATAAAGATTATGGACATTTGATAATCTTGTTCTACAAGTAAATAATGTTGGCTATCAGAAGTTATATTTTCAGTTTTAGAAATCCTTTTTTTGCGGAAGACATTCGTTCTTCAAAGAACTAAATGCAACTATACTCTTGAAATTGGCTCTAAGTTTTAAGAACTAATGACTTAAAAAAAAACAAACAAACTTGTAGTTCCAACGAAGGATTTATTTTATGAAAATATTTCAGTTGCCATTCTTGGTCATACTTTAATTTGAGTAAAACAATGCAAAGAAACTAGAAACTCTTAAGAATTCAAAGAATTTCAATCAAAGAAGAGTAGCAGAACAAATGGTAATAGCAAATGCAGAAAATGTCTGCAATAGGATAGATGCAGCACAACTCCATCCTGTCTGGACCTCTCTGCTCCAAAGAAAAATATGATATGACAAAAAAAAAAATATCAATTTGTGGAGTAAAAATATTTTCTTTTTACGCCTCAACTTGCTCTTACTTTGTAGACGTCATCAACTCGTTTTTTCCCTTGATTTGAATACTTAATCGTTTCTAGTTTTTTTTGCACTGTTTTACCCAAATCAAAGTGTGACCAAGACTGGCAACTGCTAGTCGAAATATTTCCATAAAATAAATCATTCGTTAGGAGTACTAGTTTTTTTTTTCTTTTAATTATGCAACTCCCAACGCAGACAAGCATCATAATTTTGATACTAATGACTTTTTCTAAAGTAAATTACATAAATACTAATAAATTCAAAGACACATGGCACAGTGGATAAAGGCATTGGTTAGATCCACTGACAGGACCCAAAGAGTGTGAGTTCAATACCCGGTTAAGGCAGTGGAGAACTTTCAGAGGGAAATTAACAGGAGATAACTGACAACTGACATCCATTAAAACATGACACATGGAACTAGAACAGTCTACCCCACTGAGCGAAATAAAGGGTTCAGTTCGACATTCCAACCATCTGAAGAAGGCCGGAGCGTACAACGGCCGATACGTTGTGATAAATATAGCGACAAAGATGAGGACAATAGTCCGAATAATGTAAATAGTGTACATAATACCTCATCTCAGAAATATAGACAGATACTGAAATTCAAATTTTCATGAATTTTATTTTATTTTACCTGAATTAAATACATTAGTTTACTTCTAAAATCGTTTGATCATTTGCTGCAGAAATATTTATTGTGAAACAAAAGTAGTCGAAAAGCTTATTACCATTTAAAATTATATCTTCCCAAACGTCATAAGTTTCCATGACATTTATTTAATTTTATGTAAATTAAATTTACACATACACACAAAGACGCACACATACACGCGCGCGCGTGTGTGTGTATGTGTGTGTGTGTGTATTTTAAATTTCGAATTTAGGCAGCAACTTTTCTTTCAGGCATGTCTGATTGAATAAATTACAGACATTATGCCTGCTAATTTTTAACAAAATCCGTCCATACTCACGAATAACCTTCCGTGTATTGATGTTAAAGCATGAAAGAAATGTGCTTATAGCTGTTTAAATTTCTTTTATTTTAATAGTACTGTCGATCTTTTTCCAAGATAATCTTCAGGGGTGCAAGTGGTACAAAACTATATGTTGTTCATTAGCATAATTATATAAAAAGCATAATTAAAAAAATGACGGTAATGGAAAACAACGCATATCTTTATAGACATAGAACGAGAACAACCAACGGTTTTAGCATAGAGTCGGTGCATAATTATCAGGCGTTTTTGTAGGCGAGTTGAAAAACGCCTGATAATTATGCACCAACCCAATATAAGATTACATTCCTCTTCCATTCATATTTCGTCTTGAATAACATTGTTAATGAGAATAAGGCTAATACACGAAATATAGACTTTGTTTACCAACAAATAATAGTTCCTAATTAAAATAGGTGTGCGGATAGTGTAATGGATAGCTGCTCAGAATGCTAAATCGGAGAGCCGAGTTCGGATTCCAGTCGAGTTCGTTATATTCATTTACGCGCGAAGACCCGTGGGAAAGGTATGAATTCGTCTCTTCTTCCCCCATCTATAGGTTAAATAGTACTATATGTAAAAATAATTATCTCTAAAAATTATTAATGTAATATTCACTCGTAGAAAGATTCTTACAATCCAAATTATGTATTGATAAACCTTAAAAAAAAAAACACATATCTCCTTATTAAAAATTGAGCCCTTTGAAATGGAATAGATATCCCCGAGTTAATACATTCTTCATCTAGTTTTGTTTTATAACAAATATTTCTGCTGCAATGATCAAGAAATTTTAGAAGTATACCAATCCATTTGATACAAGAAACCAATTTACTACAGCGCCCAATAAATAAGGTTTATAGAAATTAGAGATTTTTACCAGATGAGACACATTAATCGAAACTTGTCTTCGTCGTTTCTCGATCTTCGCTCTTCTTTATCCCTGGTTAGCTGTAGTTAAAAGCCAATGACAGAATCTGATGTCCATTATCAGATGACCTATGTTCGCTCATGTCCAGTCGGACATCGCCCATCGACTCTCCCACAGACACCCCCTTTATCGTTCAATCATTCGGTCCAGTGGTTTAACACGGAAACACACGCAAGAACTACTGACATAACTAGTCAGCAGATGGATGGTTTTTTAACCCGGAAACCAGTTGCCCGGCCACTGGACACTATCCAGGGACTGATTAAGTGCGACCATGCGTTCACTTCTGGTCACAGCCGATTGAGATGAACCGAGAGGAGGTCGTTCACCCAGCAAATCTGATTTCTCTTACAATTTGTAATTTTGCTGTCCGTTTGGGGCTGAGAGAATTTACCGAATAACCTTTGCGCCAAGATTTGGTTGCCTTCTCTTCAGTGAAACGTTAGTTGATTAGTGACTGGAACTTTCATTGGTACCGCTTTCTATTTGTCTCAGAGTGTTAGACGACGATGCTCATCTGTGGCTGTTTATACTAGCAGACTCTTGTCTACGAATTTGGTTCTGTCGTCGTTTCTAAATGAAACGAAAATAAAAATAAAATAAATCAAAAAATGAAATAAATAAAAATAAAATAAATAAGAATAAAATAAATAAAATTAAATAAAAACAGTAAAAAAAAAAAGCCGAATGAAAAAGCGGCCATTGCCAAGCTTTTATTGCAAATAACAGCAGCGCGTTGAACTTTCATGAACGAAATTCTTCACTACATTCTGTTAATTTCACGAAAGTTTCTGAAAGACTCGGGCAATATTCTGTTATCCGAGGGAGATACATTCCAAGATTCTAAATGGATGCCTGAAAATGCAGTGAACCTATATGTCTATTATATTATTATATTATATATAATATCTATCTATTAATTATATATAATAATGATATATAATTATATATATAGTCATCCACAGACTGTTTCGATGTATCACAGCTCATCAGTGTGAGAAGACATGTGATTGCTACAAGCCAGGATCGAAACATGACCGATTTCACATCAGTTGAAGACTCTCATGCTTAGGCCATCAGCCCACGCAAAAAAGTGAATTTTTAACACCTTATATACGAGATATAAGCATTACCGGAGTGCTCATTTCATAGCGAAGAGCTTTTAGCATTAATAGCAGCAACCGACAAACTCCCTTTATGTGTTTATATGGACATTTTACCTAGTTTTGGTGTCAAGAACCCACATCTAAATCTATAAAAACATATATATATATATATATATATATATATATATATATATATATATATATATATATATATATATATATATAATTAAAATTTTAACGTATTATATATGAGATGCATACAAATATTACCAGCCGACGCCAATGGTATTGAATTTTAATATTGATAAATTTTGATACACCATATTCTATATATATATATTGATATATTTTGATACACCATATATATATATATATATTAATTAAAATTTAAAATTTAAAAACAACTTAAAAATTTAAATAGCGTCGAAAAAACAATATATATATTGTTAAATTAAAAAATTTAAAACAACTTAAAAATTACAAATAGTACGAAAAAAAACACACACACACACACACACACACACACACACACACACACACACACACACACACACACATATATATATATATATATATATTTGTTGGTAATTATTCATATAAGAAAATATAAATAATTATATATATATATATTTATTTATATTTATATACACTTTTCACACACACACACACACACACACACACACACACACACACACACACACACACACACACACAGACACACACACACAAACATATATATATATATATATATATATATATATATATATATATATATATTGAATATATGAATTATTCAAACAAATGATCCAAAGGGATGCAAAGGTTAATGATTTAATTATGAGAAATCCATCATCGCAAACAATTCAAATAATATAGAAAAAAACCTCCGAATCCGTTATGAATGAAAAATGATCCTTGTTTCTATAAATTTTTTAAAAATTTAAAATCAAACTCAGCGTTGCTACTGCGCGCTCCAAAAAACAATAACTCATTTCCAATAGCATTTTCGGATACAACAATACATATATTTTCGTTGTCCTCTTATTACTACTAGAAAAAAACAAGAACAACATCTATTCTATACCTGAAGATGTCTGTAGGAACAGACGAAAGCTTGTAGTAAAAATAAGAACTAATACGGCAGAAATTTATAGAAACAAGGATCATTTCATTCATAACGGATTCGGAGGTTTTGTATATTATTTGAATTGTTTGCGATGATGGATTTCTCGCCAATTAAATCATTAACCTTTGCATTAGTTTTTGTGTGAATAATTCATGAATTTGTAAATTGATTGCACGTTTATCGTAATATATATATATATATATATATATATATATATATATATATATATATATATAATATAATATATATATATATATTATATATATATATAAAATAATATATATATATATATATATATATATATATATATATATATAACCAATATATATATATATATATATATATATTGTTTTTTTCGATACTATTTGTAATTTTTAAGTTGTTTTAAATTTTAGATTTTAATTATATCTATTAGCTCTTTTTAATAATATTAATAATATTTTATTTTATTTTTTTATTTTGTTGGTAATCTTTAAAATAATGTCAAGTGTTAACTGTAAATTATATTAATCTGTATTTTTGAAATTAACCGCAATATGCTTATATTTGATAAATTTTTCTTCCTTTTCTTCTTTCCCCCCTCCCCCTCCCACCGCTTCCCCATTTGTTTTCTTTTATGTCTTCTCTCTTTTCTTCACTTTTTTCTTAGTCTTCCTTCCTTTTCCTGTTAAATAGGTCAAAATATCTGGCGCCTTACCTTAATATCCTTACGCTTATGTATCTTAATAAAGATAGGTTTAAATATTTTCCTATCTCTCCATTCCCTCTCTAATTTCGATCATATCGATCGTCCTCTCCCCCTCTATATCACCTTACATCAACTTAGAACTATCCTTCAAAAACTTATATGTCAATAACAATAGGTAAATTTTCAAACGATTTTCTTTTATGCTTGGAAATGTGATCTGAGAAACCAGGAAAAATATCCATTCCTGGGGAAATAAAATATGATCTATGGACCCTTAACTTAACCTTAGCTCCATTAGAACCCATTTAAACACACACACGAAATGCCCCTGATCAAACCGAATTCATTAATAATTACATCGGTTACACAACCACATGCTTATCCAGACGCCTTACGTTAAACCTATCTGATCACAGCTCCATTAGAACCCATTTAAACACACACATAAATTTACCAGACTCCATTAGGAACATACTTGTAGAAAACACAAATATATTAACTGCATCCAACTGCAAAAAAAGATTAAAAATAATGGAAGCTTTAATAATGAAAAAGAAAAAGCAAACTCTCAACAATATTAACTACGAACAAGGCCACAATGTGCTAACCGTATTCGGAAATTAAAAACATCTCTACAACACACTAAATACATACACATAATACACACACTCAATTAATTGTTGAAAAAATTGAATCATCCTTGATAATGGCTAAAGGTATGTATTGAAAAAGAATTCGGAACTATAAAAAATTTGGACAGTTTTACATATCTTTGCTCAGAAAAGAAATCTCGTTCGAACACAAGAAAAAATTAAATAAAAAGCTTAACCTTAGTACCTTGTCTGTCGTTTTTAATCAAACATAGATAAACAAAGGATTGCTACCTAAATATATAATAATAATAATAATATATATATATATATATATATATATATATATATATATATATTAAGCATTCAAGCCCAATCAAGGCGGGAAGCCACTAGCACGCAAGGAGTTTCAGAGTAGGAGCGAGAACAAAGAGAAGTGATAGAAGAAAGGATGACGAGAAGGTTAGGGGATAGATCAGGGCATCTGGAGACGTCGATTGACATTACATTCGAATAGTTGAAGATTATAGCTATCAGGAAAACAGGAAAAGGGGAGGGAGTTCCACAGGCGAGAAGTGCGTGACATGAAGCTATTGGAGTAGAAGAGACGTTTACATTTAACAGTTTCGACATTGAAAGGGTAAGAGCGAGATGCCAGCCTAGGAGAACGCTTAAATTCATGAAGTCTGGGAACCAGCGAAAGCAGCTCATCAGAGCAGTTACCGTGAAAGTATTTGTAAAAAAGACAGAGGGAGGCGACGGCACGTCTGTGAGAGAGCGACTGCAGACGAGATGCCAGGTCGGGGCCAATTACATTGCATATTCGTCTTTGGATTTTATCAAGGACCCTGAGACAATTAGAAGGGGCTCCAGACCATATATGGCAGCAATACTCCATGCAAGGGCGAATGGTTGATTTGTAGATTTGAAGGATCGACGAGAAAAATTTTCTGGCGCGGTACAGGGAGCCAACTTTCCTAGCGGTGGGCGAAGTTATTGACTCAATGTATTCGTTCCATCAGGTCATATATATATATATATATATATATATATATATATATATATATATATATATATATATATATATTGGGGCTTGTTTTCCTAAGCATGCATACCTATGATAAATAAAAACTCAGTGAGCACAACCATAATTCATAATGAAAGTACAGGGTGGCCTGAAGGTTTTACCACCCCTATCTGTCTTCCAAAATCTAGGAGCTTATGTCAGCCATCTTAAATAAAAAAATTATATAATGTATGGGTGACAATACTTTCGGACCAGCCTGCAGAAGATTTATAACTATATTTTTAATAACGGGATGAGAAAAAAACTCGTTTTTTGGAAAGTTTATCGTAACGTCAGTATACGATTTTCTTCTCTTTCTACTTTATCGAGTACATTTGTTTTATCCTTGAAAGGAAAAATGGGGGGGTTAACGATTTGAATGGGGGTGGCCCTGAAAAAGGAACTATATAATAATAAATAATATTATTGTAATAATTTAAAGTACTTATTTTTTCATTAATGTTTTTATGAAAGATGTATATCCAGAAACAGATAGTAAATAGTAAAACGTTACTGAGAGTTATAATGGACAGGAAGTAGTGGAGAGCCATTGTCGCTGACAACTTGGACTCAAAACCGGCACTGAAGAATTATCTGTCAAATAAATAAAAAATTCATCGAAATTAGATGAAAACTGTGGAAATGGATAAACAACATTCGATCATACACATACATACACACATACATTTTGAGAATTATAGATATAGATGTTT